ATTGTAGCTTTGTACTAATTGGTCACACATGGCATATTAAAAAAATTACAATCACAATTTTCTTCACGAGTTTACATTCGCTAAAGTTCGCAAAGCCTATATTCAGACTCGCCAAGATCCGTCGGCCGTATAATACGGCTATAGACGCAATTTTTTTAGCTTAACAAAAAACCTTTTACAAAAAAATGATTTCATGGAAAGTTTTTTTGAGAAACTTCGTTTTTCGAGATTTCTTTCGTCAACGATATCTTGATCTAATCAACCTATTTTGATGCTGTTTGAGCAATCTTGTTCATAGCAATTAAAGTAGAAAAGCTTACTAGATTATAAAATTGACCAAAACAAGTATCGAAGTAGAAAACTACTTTTTGAGTATTAAAAACACTTTAACTTTGAGGTTTTCTCAGAATCAAACGTGACGATTCTGTCTAAATTCATAAAAAATCTAAGTATAGCAAGGCTCTTTCAGATGTCGAAAACCGCCTTTCGATCGGACTCTCCGTTACACACACACGCACGCGCGCGTGCGCGCGCACACGCACACACACACACACACACACACACACACACACACACACACACACACACACACACACTAAGGACATCATCGCCAAATTAGCCAGAATAGCTTCCTAGGACCTCGCAATGTCGAGATCTGCTGAGAACTCCATTTTCTGAAACCGGGGTAAAAACAATGATCTCCCCATTTTTTGAAAATCATTGATTTTCATAGCGGGAAATAAATACCAAAAAAAAATAACCTTGTGTATAAAGCAGATATAAATATAAATGATTTTAATCACACCTTAAAAAATTACATACCGATTTGTATGGAAATACCTTGCAATGAAGTTTTAGATACTAATGGTCAAATAAACATAACACAAAACAGAACAGAGAGCATGTAGCAAATTGACATTGGATGACATATCAAAATTATTTAGTTATGGTGTCAACTATCTTCTGTACTTATTTTTAAAGTGTCCAGTGCATATTTAAAGAAACTAAAACATAAACTTTTCTTACTTTAAGGTAAATTGTATAGAAGCACATCCACGCTTCCCCGTTCTAGCGACGAGTGGGCTAGATAAGGACGTAAAGATTTGGATACCGAAGAGTCACACCGACCCCGATTATGAAGGGATGGATAAGGTAATTAATAAATTATTCTCAAAAATATCAACATTTTTGGCCTAATAGTCAAAAAATCTGACTTCTAAATTGTGAACTTTGGTTTGTAAGTCGACCGAAGCCAACACTTACGCAGAGGAATTACATTTCAATTTATTTTGAGCCTTGGTAGATTAGTGTATAATGATTCCTTTAAAAGCTATATTATTTTAGTTTTTGTTATGCATACTCATATATTACGTCGTAAGGTATTTCACAGTCCACCTGATGTTAAGTGGTTGCTGTGACCCATAGACATCTACATCTGTCTTCGATTAAGAATCAAAATGTAGATGCGTCATCCCTGAGGACTAAGATGGAATGTTTAGTTCTCTAGTTCTCAACACTCACCATAAAGAATAATATACTACTCAAGAAAACTGAGACCAATGAAATTGTTATTTAAAATTTCAAATCGTGATATACTATCTGTTCGGCGGTGAAAGAAAACATCGTGAGGAAACCTGAGTAACACATTTGTAGGACAAGATTAGTCCGCCAAAACGCACTGAAGCAGAGTAGCGCGGCGGCCCAATTGGTCCCCCTCAGAAATGAAGCGACCTGTATGTTTTATTTTAATACATTAAGGTTAGAGAACAGGAGAACGATCACTACGTACTAAAGCATAGCCCGCCTGTCCATGAAAATTGTAGAATGCATAGCGGCGCTGACGTCAGTGAGTAGTGACTGCGAAGTTAGCTGTTTATGAGTATAAGTAGATGAATAATGTACAAATGAAGTTAGTTGAATAATGTACAAATTTTCTCCGCGGCATTGGTGAGAAAATTTTCATGCTTCGTAATTTTGTAATTTTTGACAAAAAGAAACAATAAAAAATGGAGAAATATTTTATTGTGCGTGGATGTGCAAGTGGTTTAGCATCTGATTGGAAAAATAGACTGAAAATGACTTTTATTGGCCGAACTTAGCGATCGCAGCGCCTTACTTATGGTGTCCATATTTCTGGGACACTTTTCTACTCTCACTTTCCTTTTCTCTAACCTTCATGTTTTACATACTTAAGTCCGGACGTGAAGAGGGAACATTTTCGTATGTTGACCTGTTATTACCTGTCACTGTCACTTCCGCGTAAATATAATGCGTCTCGCTCGCACAGATGCAATGGCTGTAAGGTTTATTTTTGTTTGCATATGATTTTTGGTTGGCCTTGAGGCACGACCAAAAACGCTTGGCTTACTTGACATAATTAATAAATTTTCAAATAACGAACAAACGACATTCCACCTTGGGATCACTCAGTTTTCAAACACAGTTATCTCAGTTATCAATTCTTAGTTTGTTGTTGTTTGTTAGTTTTTGTTGTCTTGTTTTAATTGTTTACTGGTTTTGTTAAGTTTAATGTAGACAAAACTTTTGAATCTTTTGTAATAAATTTGATAGGTGGGACGTCATCAGAAAGCAGTAACTCCGATACGGAGAAATCGGATTCTGATTTTTGAATTTTAATTTTATTTCTGCCAAATTAGCAATTATAACTCGATTTTATAACTGTTTTTATACTAAAATCAAAATAATTCATTTATATATCAATAATTTATTTAATATGATAGTAAATGTATTTTCTTCTCCATCAAATATTTCATATAAACCAACTTAACACAGAAATGTTTGTGACCACTGTGAGTAGGCAAAGAGGTCATTGTACGAAATTCTTCCTGCTCCGCGACTGGACTTTAGCAATACTATTATCATTGCTAATATTCCCTTTTACCATTCCTGGTAATCTTAAAATGCTTGTAAACCCAAAACCTTTTGAGTTCGCGGTCCGCATCAGGTCGTCACTCCTTCTATAGAGGGTCGTCCAACACTACAGTATAATGCCGCCACTCGAGTCCAACCCCAACCCTCCAAATCGCTCGAAGAACCGAATGATGCCTGGCATTTTGCCACTTCAGCCTCCTGATTCGCTTACCTATGTCAGTTGCTCATGTACCGTAAAGTAGCGGAGTAAGAACATCCACTGCCTCAATCATCCCATGGGTGCCGTAAGAGGTGACAGTGGGAAACAAACCAGGGGATGGACAACGGCGTCTTCTTAATAACAACTAGATTGCCCACCCGTCAGCCAAACGCCCACTGTGGCAAACATCCCTCTGATGAGGCAATCTACATAGGAGTTTATGATCAGCGGTGGACTTTGATAAGATGGTGTGAATATTGGTAATTTTTGAAACAATTTAAATGTAAGATAATTAATAGAATCAGGCGTTACTTTGCGGAAATCAATTCTATTAAAGTTGATAAGAATTATTTCGCCCATATCGCTAACTTTAACGGTCAGCCACCGCGTAGTCTACATCACCTGAGGATGCCCCTTGAAGAGGCGAAACACGTCGTATTTATCGTCGATGGTGTGTCTTTCCTAGTGTTAATTAAGGCGACAGTAGCCTAATGGCAGGGCGCGGACCACGAACTCAAAAAGGTCGTGGGTTGGAATCCGACATTCGACTACTGGCGTGAACCACTCGTAACACAAGCAATTTAAGCTTACCACGAGTGGTTAAGGGGAATATTAGTAATGTTTATAGCATTGTTAATATTCTTTATTTAAAAAAAAAGAAAATAAAGAAAGAAAAAAGTGTAAGTGGTGTTGGGATTAGTGGTGAGATTGAGGCGAGATTTGTGCGCGCAGTTGAAGGAGGGAGGGAGGTGCTCTTCTAACTAGACAAATATTTATATTATAGCGCATATAGGCGAAGTAATTCTTACCAACTTTAAAGTAAATCAACTAACTTAATATTTCCCAAGCAGTGTAAGTCTAAGAATATCTACTACACCATATCGTCCCGCGAGTGTTTTGTAACAGGCGACAGAGGGAAAATGAAACAGTAGAGCAACTGCATCTTCTGATAACAACTAAAAATAATACCGCAAATATATAATAACTGCTGCAAATATCACAATGAAAAGCGATCCTTAGATGAGGCCTATGTTCAGTTGCGGACTTTGATTTTTTTTTTAAATAAAATAAGGATGACAAACCAGCACTCAGTTCACCTGATGATGCCCATAGACATCTACATTTATCCCCGATTAAGACTCAAAATGCAGATTCCTTGTCACTCCTGAGAACTAAGATGGAATACCTCGTTTTCAGTAAAAAGGTTCTCCAGTTTTCTATAATCACCAAAAACACAGCAGTCCTAACATGCTATTTTACGCTGGTATTTTGTAAGAGCGTGGTCTCTCCTCTGTCGAGCCGACCCATTCGTGCTACAACCATAACATAGCTGCAGCGGCTCTACCACGTATAGATAGACTGTGATGAATAATTTCGGTGTTTTCTGTCGCAGGTGGTCCGAGAGAACAGAGTGGCGCAGCGCAGTCCATTGTTCAACGATTTTTTACCTACACTTTATAGTGCGTGGCGAAGTGAGAACCGGTTGTTTTCCGATGACTACACCCCGGCTATTGGTGGTAACATCGAGTTCGACGGAAACGCCTGCACAGCCTTCTAATCACAATCAGCATGTACTACATTATACGGACCTCCCACACCACGGCTCCACAGATTATGGTTATGATGCTGGGTTCAGTGAGCGTCAACACCGGTGGAACATTGTAAGCGACTTGCCAGTTGCCATCAGTGCCCTAACGGGAAAGTTTGACTGATAGCAACGGTACATTGCACGCGTCTTGTTAACTAGAGGCTAGTTTACTAATCATCTTTACGTATAAATACCTTAATTTTATGTATAAACCACTAAAGCGAGAAAATATTAATATTTTTGACTTTGAATATGAAAAAACTGTTTGGCTAAGATCCGCATGCTAGTCAGCTAGTTTAAGAATCATCTCTGTCTTCACAATTGCGTGCCTTATTCACTGCCATCACTACATCCAACATCACTACACCCAACACCACTACACCTAACACCACTACACCTAACACCACTACACCTAACACCACTACACCTAACACAACTACACCTAACACAACTACACCTAACACCACTACACCTAACACAACTACACCTAACACCACTACACCTAACAAAACTACACCTAACACCACTACACCTAACACAACTACACCTAACACCACTACACCTAACACAACTACACCTAACACCACTACACCTAACACCACTACACCTAACACCACTACACCTAACACCACTACACCTAACACCACTACACCTAACACCACTACACCTAACACCACTACACCTAACACCACTACACCTAACACCACTACACCTAACACCACTACACCTAACACCACTACACCTAACACAACTACACCTAACACCACTACACCTAACACAACTACACCTAACACCACTACACCTAACACAACTACACCTAACACCACTACACCTAACACAACTACACCTAACACCACTACACCTAACACAACTACACCTAACACCACTACACCTAACACCACTACACCTAACACCACTACACCTAACACCACTACACCTAACACCACTACACCTAACACCACTACACCTAACACCACTACACCTAACACCACTACACCTAACACCACTACACCTAACACCACTACACCTAACACAACTACACCTAACACCACTACACCTAACACAACTACACCTAACACCACTACACCTAACACAACTACACCTAACACCACTACACCTAACACAACTACACCTAACACCACTACACCTAACACAACTACACCTAACACCACTACACCTAACACAACTACACCTAACACCACTACACCTAACACAACTACACCTAACACCACTACACCTAACACCACTACACCTAACACCACTACACCTAACACCACTACACCTAACACCACTACACCTAACACCACTACACCTAACACCACTACACCTAACACAACTACACCTAACACCACTACACCTAACACCACTACACCTAACACCACTACACCTAACACCACTACACCTAACACCACTACTCCACTACACTGCTATAACCTCTATATTAGGAAGTATATACTATCTTCAACACATATTTCTCCTGTAAACAACGCGTCTAAGTGGTGGCAGTTTTAATGCATGTGGTTGTGATAGGGAGGGAGGATTTTTACTTATTGTAGACCTGTGACCACAATCCCACCTGGTGGTAAATGGTAATTAAGCCCTGGATGGTAAATCGTACCGTCTTAGCGTAATAAAAGCCTATTCACTCTTGCCTTGAAGACGCCCGGATTATAATCGAACGGAAGAACACATGCTGGATTTATTCCGCTAGAGGTGTAGATTATAGGTATCTAAAACAAACCTCTTTGATAGTCAATTTTGAAAGCCTCAAGCGTGTCGTAGCTAATCGTATTCGTAATTGTAATAATACGGTAGAGTATCGACTACGAAGATTTAGGGCCGATCCTCATTATAATCCCGTTCACAGTTCATTCTCGGTCTGATCTCGGTATGATAAAATATTATCAAGTAAAAAATATGTGTGTGTGTTCATACTATCCGGTAACAGTCAAGTTTTGGTTGAATCCCATTCCATTATAATAAATCAGACCCAGATCGGACCGAGAACGAACTGTGAATGGCAACTGAGGATCGGCCCTTAAGGGGTTTGGAACAACCATTCGACTCTTGCCATGTTATCGGGAAAACTAATAGTGTTAACAGCACTGTTAGTACTTTTTAAATCACAACTAAAAAAATAATAACATTCGAATGTAAAAGCAACTTGTTGAATTTTTTTTTTTGTTATTATAATCTAATACCCTCCAATTTGATGTTAGGTGTCATGTAACCGAAAATGGTAAAGCACACTGACATAACAATAGCTTATTTACTCTTGCTGGTTGTCCAATGTTGATGAGACTCATCACCGTACTGTCAACCGTTTTACAGGTGATTTTGAACTATCAACATGTCTACCATATTTTGCAATTAAAAATGCAATGAAAAATTATTGCAATATTAACAGTGTTGGTAATGCAAAAATCTATATTTGCGCACACATTTGGGCACTATGCTCATGTCCTGCGTACGGCCAGTCTCAACAAGCAAGATCAACCCGCGATCGTAGGATGAAACACCATTATGGTAGGCCGTAGAAAGAGTATGGGAGTTTTGTACATTCAAAATGTAAATGGCAAGGACATTCGTGATAAGCGGGCATTTTAATAAATGTTATTTAGTAAATCTAATATTAAATAATAAAAATTAATATAAAAATTAATTTTTGTTTGTTCGAATTTTATGCGCTGCCATACCGTTCATCAGATTGCAGTAAAACTTTGTCAACTTGTTGCTTGCACTTCCACGAAGGTTATAGGCGTAGTTGGACCCGGTAGGTGACGCTATTGTAGAATCCAGATATTACCCGTGCGAGGCCGAGGCAGGTCGCTAGTGTGTAATATAATTAAAGCCCTTTTGCTTAGTAAAGAAAAAGTCGATTGAAAATATTTTTTTATTGATATTAATTATTATGTGCCAGGATACGAAATGACTCAATAATTTTTTTCGAGGCTGTTTATTATTTAAATTTAGAAAAGAGTCCTATTGAATTTCACTGTTATTTCGGCTACAAGTTCTTAAAATAAATTAAAAAAAAGTCTGTCACCACTATTTATAATATTTAACACCAATGAAAGTAACCTTAAGGCTAGTTTGGACTAAATATCGTATCTTAGACACAATTTTGATGCGCGAGAATTGATACTTCTAAATTGTATATGCTCGGAAAAAATATGTGCCTAACTGAAATACTCAATTACATTCTTTATCAAATGGATTTTCTAAAATATTTTATATTAATCGAGATTAAAAAAATATTTAATTGCCGTCAAAAAAATTGACGTTCGATTTCTCGTTTAAACGATATACAAATAAAATTTATCAATAATATAAAAGGTATGTTATTGGATTAGATTCTTCATCTGCTGTATTTTTATTTATACCCTATATTTCGTGATAATAAGACAAAACGTTTCAAATAAAGTAACTTTTGTCCACGAATACATACGACAATTACGTACGTAGCGGAGAAGGAAGGAAATCGAGACTTAAACATTAATTCACACATTTTCAGTAACAATAGTAAGACAATAGCAATGAACTATATGTAGTACACGGGACAGCAAATGGGTTAAAGCACAGTTTAGACCTTACAGTTTTGAAACGCCTTTGATGTCCGGCGATGCCGCCGCCCGCATATATTTACACGGCCATCGTGTATGCGAGGGCTTGTCACGAAAATGGGGATAAAATAATTTTGGATATTATAATACTCATTATAATATATTAATGTACATACTTATTAGTAAAAAATTTATCGAACAAGATCATTTTTATTACTTCAAGAAAAACACATTTATAATTTAATGTAGCTCTGTCAAATATTTTCGTGACACTTTCTATTTATATGTAGATGTTTTCAGTTTTCGATTGTTAAAATTAATAATGTAGTGTATTCGCACTCGGATAAACAATTTCATCGTAAAATTGGGGAAACATAAGTATGGCCGTCATTTGAAATCGATTTTACTTTATAACTCATATAACTATGACAGTAATTCACCATTATAGTTACTATATTTTTTAAAAACTGCGCTTAATGTTAGTTAAATGAGTACTATAAAACACGCTCGCGGCAACCGCATGTATTATCTATCAGATTTAGTGAAGTGCGCTAGCACAAGTTCGAAACGTCCCCCTGCCCAACTGTCCCAACTGTAAAGTTTTTAAACTGTAGTTAAAGTCCAGTTTCACTCGATCTAATTAGACTTAATGTCGGTTGCATTCATTTGAAAATTTGATGTTATCTGTGACTTTAAAGGTTTTTTTTGTAAGAGAAGCCTGGGCATTAAAATTATGTTTGCAATCAAAATTTTTACATGATAGCATTAATGATAGTTATAAAGTCTATAATATGACAAACGTGTTTAGCATAATATAATATACTTTTAGCACACATACGAAAACACATATGATAGACACAGATGCTGCCCGAAAAAGAATTAAAGAAACTGAGAAGAAATCGAACCTGACCATATGTTAACAATTTTTGTATATCTCTTTTATAATTCTCCGGTACTTATGTTTGTCATTGAACTCCTTCTAAACAGCTGGATCGATTATGGTTTAAAAAATGTGTGTGTTTGAGTGGGTCCCTGGATAGTTTAGATTCACAACTGGACCCGGCAGGTGGCGCTGTAGTCGAGATCCGGAAATCACCCGTGCGAAGCCAGGGCGGAACGCCAGTTAGGTATATAGCCAAGGTAAAGTTAAACACAGATCTCCCCGCATGATCGGTTAAACGTGAACCGAGCTATTCGATGTGGCGGGCGTTAAAATTCAGGATCACGATCTCTGCGGATGGGATCTGTTGTTGCAAGAAATCTACAACCGTTTGGAAGTGATCGATGAGTCGGTCTGTGTCGGCATTACCGCTATGGGACCTATAGAGGCACTCGTAGACGCGGAGAAGTTCGTCGGCTGTCTACGTGCAGCCAATGGATGGACAGATCCGTAGGTACCTTCAAAGTTGCCGAGGCGCCGAAAATATCCTCTCTGAATACGTCAGAGAGGATGTTTGTGAGGATGTTTCACGCAAACTATGTTACGTAAAAAGTGAAAATTTTGTATTTCTTGTATGCTATTTTGTATACTAATGTAATGTTATCTTATTATTTTCAAATAAGATATGCAATATGAATATTACATGGGTGAAATTGTTGTATGTAATTAAGGCCATTCAATTTTATTCTTTTAACGTGCAGACCAACTGCGCTGCGCACAATTTAAGTGACGTAAAAAAACTATGCTCAACTTATTTAAGAACATACACTCACGTACACATACGCATCTAAAATCATTTGCAAATAACATGTTTTTAAGTGCATATGTGTGCATCTAGAGTAAACTTCTATGGGCGAATAAAGAAAGAAAGAAGGGTGCGTGAGTGCGTCAAAAAGTTGAACATGGTTTCGGCGTCACGCACTACGCAGCGCTTAGTCTTTCTTTCTTTGTTGGTCTGAGTTCACACAACTATAAAAGATTGAAACCAATGAGTTTTTTAATATTTTATTTAAATTTGCGAACACTTATTTATGCTGAATATAAGTCTCAAAATTATGTTTTTGCTTTTAATTAGATATCTATTTCTTGGTTTCCATCATGCAGTCTAAATATTTATAAACTTTAAGTTTTAAAACTAGTGTACACCGGTGGACAGCGAGGAAAAGAGCTTTGAAGTAAATGCTCTGCTTGCCAGCGTGCACTGACGAGAGATCCATTTGAATGATCGATCCGAATGTACCAGTACGCGTGACGAAGTGTACAAGAATTATTCGGTCACGAGAAATGAATGATTGACACATGTCTATACTGCACCAGTCACTCGAATAAGGGCATCCACAACTTTTTCTGCCACCGGGGTGGCGCGACATAGGAAAGAGCTGTTATAAGAAAAATATAGAGATTAATTTTTCTTATTGAAATATAGGTTATATTTTACATTCATTAGAAAAATGGATAAACCAAACTATTTCTTCTCTAGATCTTAGACCACACGCAACGCAGTCGAAAAGTTCTTTTTAAACGATTATGCCTCCTGCCAATGTATCATCCAGAGGGCTCTTCGATAAAGCAGGGCAACTACCACCGCAACCCTACTCTATTCTCCGTGGATAGAATTGTATTGTGATATAATTATAGTAATTGTATTTAAAAAGCTGTATTTTATCATTAAATAATTAAAAAATAATAAAAATGATATACTATGAATTGTTTTCAAATTTTTTATTGATTTTTGCCGTTATTTGGTTATATGTACCTTACCATATCTATTCAAACCGAGTCTCTTGTAATGGATAACTAGTGTAAAAAATCTTTAGTTATAGTACACAATAAACAATTGCATTCATACAAAAAGTATTTTTTTAAAAGTATTTTCCCTGTCCTCTTTATTATGGTGGCACTTCTTCACTGATCAAAATCTAGATCTTGTTACATACAAGGTTATAATAACAAACTACTTTGTTATCTATGGATGTGTGTATTTGTTGGCACTATTTGGCCTGACAGAAGAACGAAAGACAATATTATTTTCAATCGTGTGGTGAAGGACGATGTATTTTGGAACAAATGTTTTATAATCTTTATTTTTGAAGGACTGTTAATATAGAAGTTGTATTATTTTTGTCACACATTTATATATAAGTGAAAGAATAATTCATTTAAAGTAAATTTAAATATTTTTTTTTATTAACAACTCCATTTTGTTTGTTGTAATTATTAAATAGTAAAATGTTTGAATAAAACATACGACGTGATTGGGATGACATCATCATCATATCCGTTGAAGCTGTGAGCGAATTGCAATCATGCTATACAGTCCGTTCCACGAAAGAAGTCCCATAGTCGCGGCGCCACAGTCTGCAAAGTTTGACATCTGGTGTCAAATTCCATACATTAAATTTTAGTTCGCACATTTTCCGCGGGACTTCTTTCGTGAAACTGACTGTACTTTTGTATATTTTCTATATTCGGGTCACCATGTGTCATAAGTCATAACTCATAACAAAACATATTTAACCTGTATTATGCAACGACAATTTTTTTTATTTCGTCTACGTGGACATGACTTATGTTTATCATCACTCTCTAGTATATATACAGTTACAGTAATCTCTGATAATCACTATCATTTCACCATGCGGTGGCGTTACTAAAGCGATGTAATGAATTCACTGGCATTTGAATTTACATTTTAGAAAAACCATTCTTAATTGTAAAATTAAATGACAAATCAATTGTTTTTTTTTTAATTTTACTTTTCATAATAATTTTAGTAAATTCAAAAAAAAAAGAAAAAAATTCCAACTCCAAGTAATGATTTTGCATAATAAATTGGTATTTCCAATATAGCTGGAAATCTTTCAAACTCATAGGTATGTATGGGATATTATAGTGAATTATGAATTTAATAAAGTAATTGTTAGGTAAAAATGTACAGAAATGTTGCCCCTTTGGGGGGCAATACAGATATATAATTGAAAATGAATAAATATTTATTTACCGTGTATTTAATGTTATATAAGTGTTTTAATGCAACTTCTGTATAAAATATTGTAGATTAGGAAGGACTAACTTGTTGCATTATCTTTATAAATATTATGATTGGTAAATTTCTATAAATAATACAGTTTATATTCCATTGTCACTTACTGATTAGAAATAATTTCATAATATATGTTTCTGAATATGCGATGTATGTCATGCCTGTGATACCTATGCCATTAGTGGTACTGAAATTTGTTGTAAAGATTTTGTTAATTTTACGGTGTATTTTTATTTATATACCTGTCTACTGATACTACTATTAACATTTATTGGTGTTTCGACTTATTTTCAGTAAGTAAAATAATAATCGCCATTAAAATCTAATTTCACCAAGATCCTTCACAAAAACATTGTTATTCGGTACAATTTGGTTCTACGCTATTTGGCGCGCCGAAATGGAGCAGTTCGTATAGCAATGAATCTTAAATTGATTTGCTCAAAAGACTTGTCACCGTAACAAGACGATCATAAAGCTGAGCACATAAGACGCTAAAAATATCAAATATTAAAAGTACTATGCTAATTCATCGCAAATTTTAGGTTAGGTAGGTAGTCGTTGCTCTAACTTATCAAATTTTTCTGTGCTTTTTCTTTAAAAATGAAATGCAACTTTGTTCTTTTGCAATATTGGTAATGAAAGTATGTGATAGGTTACTCACATTTGAGTAAAACTGAGTTTAGATTTTTGTACTGGTCCATCTCAAAGAGCCATTTGTACTGTAGCTATGTACTAGGTATACCTACATGATAATACATAGGAGTGAACTTTAATACAATAATATTTTTGCCTTATTTTGTTTCATCACACAACTTATACAGGCAATAGCAAAACAAAAAGGTTTCTGTGCAATTTTTTTTTTAATTTGTTAAATTCATAAACTTTGTATATTATACAAAATAAATATGCAGTTATGCATGAATATGGCATATTGTTTATGGTAAAACATGACTAATAATATAAAAAGAAACATTAAAACAAATAAAAAATCTGTTTATTTTTTGTAACCTACATTAAAATGAAATCATAGTTCATAACGGATTGTATTTATTTTGTTTTCTCAATGTCATAAAAGAAAGTACCTAGTTTGTGAGAGCCTCAATTGTGTAAATAAACGTTTACTTTAATAACTAATGTATTTTTATTTTGCATATCGTACGACGGTTGTATATTATTGTTGACGGCCTACCGAATGAATGTTCTTTAATTAAGTACTGTCAACTTAATCGATAGATTTATATTAACAATAAATGATTATCACTATCACCAATCGCCATTTTGTACGCGCTTACAATATGATTGTTATAGTTCCAATAATAGAACAATAATAATATTAAAAATATTTTACATATGTAACAGGTATAAAAGTTCCTAGTAAATAATTAAAGAGAATAGAAAGAGACAAAATCAAGTAGTTCGCGTTTCCAGTTTCCCGCTAGAAATATCAACTGATGCAAGCGCCACCAGCGTTAATATTGAGAATTAATTGAATTTTGTTGTTTTACACTATTTTCGTTTTAAAAAAAAGTAAAATGAACTATTTTATATTTTAGTGATTTGTTTCTTTAACCATATGTTTTAACATCATTTTGAGTAAATATCGAACAATATAAACGGTATGAATACAGTTTAATTTAAAAAAATAGCCCACATGCTAGTCAAAACTTGTTAATGGCGAATCGTTCCGACCAATCACATGCCCAGCGTGTAGAAGCCCGCGCCATCTTCGTTTTCAAACACATCTCCATCGCTCCCGCTCTCGCCCGTTACGTTCGCTCACGCTCACTCGATCAGTCAGTCAGTCGCGCGTCGGTTTGGAGTAGCCGTATACTTAACTTACTATTTCTAGTAATTAACAAAAACCAGAACAATCATGAGCACCAATGAAAATAACAGTGATGTGACCGTTGACAAGGTCGAAGATAAGAAAACAGGAGAAGCAAAAAGTGATCTAAAAGGAGCCAAAAGGGCAGCAGAGGTGAGTGCACATGTCAAACCACAAATGTATTCATTTGAGCCGCTCGCCATTTTATTGAACGCATAAAATATTGTGTAAACTATTATACCAATTATTATTAAACAGTATTACCTACCTTACACATGGTTACAAAAGTAACCCATTCGTTCTTTAACAGCCGGCATATTTATAGATATTATTTCGACTAACTAAATATTTTAGTATATGAGGTAATCGATGAGTAAGTGTTACTGTAACTTTTATTGATTATACTAAACAAAATATTAAATAATTTTCATCTTGTTTCCAAAATTCTTTGGAGTTTCTAGCTTTGTTTACTCGTTGTCGATATGAAGGCATGACCTTGGCTGAAAAAAAAATATGGCGCGGGAACGTACGCTTGTCCTCGATGATAATAATATGGTTATTATACAGATGTACATTATATTTTCTTTTAATGGGATTGTGTAATAATAATTTTGTTACATATTTTTCGCTATTATTAATGTAACTATTTTGTGGTTTCACAATTATGTAGCGTGACGCTTGGTAACATGGCCGGCGAATGTCAGTTTATGTAGTCGCGGTCGCGCTGTCATAGGTATATAGCACAAATTTCCTCAAAAGAATGTTATTATTATTATTATTTTCATTTATTCCTTGTACAAAATTCCAAGTATGCTCTGACACGACGCAATATATAATAACGTCATAACGTTTCTATTTGCGCAATTATGGTTTTATTTTGGTTATGCGTTACACTGAAAAGTAGTCAATGACCCGGCGTTATTTGCATGTAGGTGTTTCGTATGTAGATAGATATTAGTTAGTACTTTTCTTTGTTCGATACATGCCGAAATGTTAGAAATTTTCTGTAAAATTAATTGAGCGATGCAAAATGAGCGGGAATCTCTGAAATAACGTCTATAGCAAAAGTATTATCTTCTATCCCTGTCGCGTTTTGTAACCTAAATTCAAGAAAATTTACTTCGCAATTTCGTTCCTTTTTAACAGCTGTTTAATAACAAACTTATTCAAGTTTATCATGTGTCTTTGGCTGTTTTCTTTTTTTGAATTTTAACCATGTCATTTACAGTAGCGTTACGACCTGTGGTGACGTCGTGGTTCGATTTCTTTTTAAAATTGCTAGGGCAAACTCTGCTGTAGACGCCGGTATAACGTTAGGCGTTTCTCTTTCCCCCATAATAACAATCCACAGTACTCTATTCTCGCTAAAACTTATCACCTACGGCACTTGATATTATACCTGAAGATGCAGTTTAGCGCCATAATCTACGATTCTACGAATTAATTTCGTAGTATAAACGGGTATTAAAAGTTTGTCGATAGCTTATTGATCTCTTAGGGCGCTGAGACAGAACACGACGTATATGTGTTATAACATTTAAATTACATATTTTCACCGTTAGCTTAAAAATGGTTTTGTTTGCTGTAGGACAAAGTGACAGAGGCGAAAAAGGCGCGAAAAGAAGAAAACGGCGGTGGCGACGATGAAGCACACAGTGAAGAAGACGATTTGGAAGGAGAAGGCGATGGAGAAGAGGAAGATGATGAAGAAGTTGACGAAGGCGAAGAAGATGAGGAAGAATTAGAAGAAGGCGAAGAAGACGATCTCGAAGGCGAGTTTTAAAATTAAATTTTACATTAATTTTAATACTTACGTTAAAATTAAATCATGATATAAAGAAAGTTACATGTGTGCTGTTAATGTGTTAATCATTGCGTCTTACTGTACTGAATGTGTGCTGTGAAGAATCTTACTGTTCAATGATGATTTTTATTCATCATTTATTCCTTGACAAGCAAATTGCTTGCTTGAGAAGCTATAAATGTTAATATACTTTTGTTGCAGATGAGGAAGTAGAAGAAGAGTTACTAGGCGAAGAGGAAGAGGAGGATGCGTAATACGTCTCGTGCCTCTTTATGGACAATGTCACAGTGAAGTGTTAGTGCACGTGACGGCCTGGAATGGCGCGGCCTCGCCTCGCCCCAACTGTTATGGTGCACCCTTATATTGGGCGAAAGATCCTGTTAAATTGGATCTTATCACAACCCTCTTCCAAACCCAAATCTTGCTTCAGGCATTTATATTTGAACTAAAGTTATTATGGATCACCTGAGTGATACCCAAATTCTTTCAGAAGATACCTAAATGAATTTGCAAATATTCTGGTCAATTATGCGTCGCTACATGTTTTAACTTGTGAAATTATATAATGTTGACTCAAGCTTAAAAGAAGCTGACAAAATTTCGTTTAAATTTTGTTTGAAAGCGGCCAATGTGAGGGTGCACTGAGAGCGACAGCCGACAGCCCCAACACGAGCGGCAGTTGGGAACACGCGGGGCCGTCGACGCTCCCACCTTAAAACGGGTGCAGTTCTATTTAAATGACAAAAAACGTAATTAAGTCAAATCAATGCAGATTTTCAATTTTTTACAATGTTTTAAGTTCAGAACAAGCTGTTTTACATTTCACGGCTAGCTGCTAATAATTAATAATTAAGACTTAGTAGAATGCTGTTGAATTTGGTCATGTAATGTACAAATGTGTTTTTCTTTTTGAAAGTAAACCTTATATTTTAAGTGAAATTCGCTATGTATTTGGAGGTATACCTATGAGCCCATTGTATGGTAAAGTTGTGATATTTTTCTTTAAAATAGTATCCTACCAGCAATAAGCAATAATGATATAACTGGTATGCTGTATTAGTAGTAGAAATAAGCAGCAAGTCACAAAGCTCAATCGCTCATTTTCTTATTACTGGTGAGAGTTTGTGTGTACATATTTAGAATAAGTGCATCATGGGGTTTTTGTAAGCAGTTGTAAAATAGTGATTATTATGTTCAGGTATACCGTATTTTTTTCCTTCTAGAAAACCTCTCGTCACATATCGCAAACATCTAACCAATGTGCTAGGCTCTAAATATCATATTATTGTAATGATTTTAATAGCGAATGTGCTAAAATTGATCTAATGCGGGAGCTTAGTCGGTAAGACCGCGTTTTCTTAGCGCACAGCCCGTGACCGAAATAAGAGGTATATTCATGCGACATTTTATTAGGAAAACATCACAATTTTGCCATTATCTCTTGCATTGCGCGCCGGCCGCCCGCTCCGTGAGACTGATAAAGGAACTCGGCGGTCTACGCGCCGCTGCACCGAACATCTAGAACCGGCCTGTAATTTGTCCATATTGTTAATTAGGATATAACTTTTCAGTTCGGTATTCCAGTTACGAGGTGTGGAATAAGAGATTCCTAGGTTATAAAGTGATTTAGTATGTAGGTGGTACGTTATATTTTACGAAGGGACGCTAGGAGGTCGACGGGAATCGCGCCGGGTGCGGGGCGAAAAGCGCGTCAGCGTTTCCCCCTCCCTCCCCCTTGCACCGCGCGTGGCCTCGTTCGATTTGCCGCGCGCCGGTGTACCCCTGCCCCGCCCCGCATCCGCCGCGATCTGCTGGCGTCTGGCGCCCGCCTGTACCGCGACATGGCGACGCGTCCTCGCGCGTGGAAAATAACCGACCGCGCGCCGTCCATTGCCGCTCGTGCAATGCACCGCCACGCAGTAATGGACGATTGTGCTACGTCGCAAATCGTTGAAGTGCACATCCCCGACGCTTTCGCGGTCTAGCGGTCGGCCGCGTGCACCATGCTATCGAAGCCGGACCGAATTTTTTAAACCGACGCGCGACGCCCGACACAGACTGCGGGGTGATTCAAGCATTTAAAGAAATGCTCCACTGCCGATAGAGCATCGAAGGGAGCAAAATTGTTTTCATTAGCATCAATTGACAAAAAAATAAAATTAAAATAAAGTTGAATTATCTTATGAATTAATCCTATCGTCCCGCCTTTCGTTTATGATAAGAATGAGCTGTCGCATATTATGTACGATGTACGTCTAATGTGAATACCTTAGTACGATTTTATTTATTTGTGATGTTGAACACTATTGATTTTCTACAATGGACGAAATGTAAATACAACCGATTTTAAGTAAAACGTTATTTTGTTTCTTCAGCTTATTTATTTGTCCCAGAGGTAAACATTCAGTGAAATTGATGTAATATGCTTCGCATACAGTAGCAAATCAAGATTATGTGACGCTAAATAAAATATGTTATGCAATATTTATATATAACGCCATCGAGTATTGGTACTGCAGATATGATACTTATTTACCCTACAGAAAAGATTACAATTACAAAACGAAGTAGGTATGTAGTTAAAAAGCTACGTACCTACACTTACGGTAAAGAATGGATATCTTGCAAGTTTGTTTTTGGCGTGAAACGTGGTAGGCGCAATAAAGAGGATGGGTACAAGTACAACCACAGTAAATAATAGTACTACGTACTACAATTACTACATGGGTACCTATCTACTTGTTAGCTTTTAGTCAAATTTTCCGCATATTTTAATCTGCGTGAGAGTTGTATGTAGGTATATTATACAGCAAAATCAGACTTGTTATAACATCCACAACTAACGACATCTGTTCAATAAACCTGTAATATATACAGAAAAATTCCACTAGGTGGCACTGTATTAAATTTATAAATAAGTTATAATCTGTTTACAGAGAAAACGCGCCATTTTTTAAACATTTGTAGCCAGCAGGTAGTTTTCACGAAATTTTACTATAATATTTTTATTGCTTGTACCGTTATATAGGTAATTGTAGTTAAAGTGACCTCCGCTCATTTCGATCAAATCAATTGTTAGAAAATGCTTTTGAAACATGTATTTGCTTCCTCTTTCTGCTTTACGATTTTTTTAAGACTCAATATAATAGTGGATGCAGACATTCGCGTGGTTTTTTTAAAATCTATGGCGTTCCACAGCTCTAATATACGGATTAATTACTATGAATTTAAAAGAACACGAATCTATTATATTATTATATCCATGTACCTACAAGACGATAGCGCGAATGCATCGAAACCAAAGAGATCTTTGCTCTTTTTGCTGCTAAGTACCGTGTTTTTCCATCTTTTGTTTTTCAATGGCATTGCGTGTTCTTAAATGAACAAACAATGAAAGTGACAACAAGAAGATAATGATAAAAGTTTTAGGATACCTATTTAGTTTTTCTTGGCGCTTTGGGATAATACCGTAGACTCGCAAGACATTTAATTATTTATTGCACCAACAAAGTACACACTATTACATGCAAAAATATCAGAAAAACAAAAAAGAAAAAAAAAACATACAAAGTGCTACTTCAATTATAGGCGCAAGAACAACATTCTCTTAAAGTCTCGTACATTAACTTATGTTGAGAAGCAATTTAATTTTATATTAAACTGTATGCATTAATTATAAGGAAGTTATTATACAATTAATTAACTTATTAGTACTATTAACAACAACAATAATAAAATTTTATCAGTGCATTACATTTAACTATGTCAAGAACAGCATATTATTTAAAAACTAATAAAGATAAAAACATCAATTAAAATTTAAACAGGTCGAAATGTCATTGAAATAAAAATTTATATTATAAGTCAAAATTAAAAATTTAATGTAAAAATAAAATAACGCTCACACATATTTTAATTTAAAATTACATAACAATGGAATTATTCTGTTATTACTTGAGCTGCAAAATTTTTAAATTGTGTTAAGGAGTTTGAAAAAATATCTAGCTGAGAAGATCCTTTTTCAGTTTCACTAGATATAGAGTTGTGAATGAGATTGTAACTCCTCATCGCTCTGTTTTATGGAGCATACTGACCCAACTGTGACGTGGCTGGATTACTTTTAAAAGGTTTCTTAAGTCTGTGTGGCTTTCTAGGTACAGCAATATTTAATATTTAATCGAGATAAAAGATCAGGGCTGTCAAAATTTCCATTTATTCGCTTATACAGAAACATGAATACACAAACCCTTTTTAAAATTACCTAATGCAACTACAATGACTCTAACCACCGTTTCCTTTTCTTTTTTTACCTGCGAACACATAAAGAGATCAGTCTCTGGCCCCTTACCCCTTGTTAACTAAGTTTTAACACAATAGGTTATTGATTACAGTTTCAAGCCGTATCGCCTTACCTTCGCATGTTTTAACCCTAGATTCATAAACTACATTTAGGGTTACATTGTTCATAATCATATGTCTCTGATACACCTTACTTTTAAAGTCACCTAATTTAATGATTACGGTAGATATTGAATAAAACTATGAATATTAGTTATAATGAACTTTTATTGAGGATTATAACGTAAAAAACAATTATAAAAAAATCAATCCTAGCATTCTAGGTACAAATTACCGCGATGTTCCAAACACATATTACGTTTGCTACTGGTGCAGATAAATCTGGTCACACGTTTTTTTTTTTACAACAGCAGAAGTTACATAATTTCCTGGTTTGATTTTCGCGGATAGCTGGGACATCAGGAAAAGTATCGCCTAAAATGAAATCGATGTTCTGTTTTAGCCATCGCCTCAAAGTTGGTGTTTCGCGGCGTTGCCGTAACCAGGGTTCTATCATTTTATCTGACACTTCTTTGATAAAGTGCCATAGTTGCGAAGGGATCTCGCGCTTGTTAGATCTAATTGAACCTACAATTGTTAATTTGTATGGATTCTGCAATAGTTCTTTTGCTAAAGACACTGACGTGAACCAATTATTCATGGTCTCATTACGATTACTGCCTTGAATAGTTTCGGAAAGTTGCTTCACAAAGAAAGATACTAAGGGTTCTACATTTGTGTTTGTAAGGTACATCTTTCATCTGTTTCGTAGGTCGGGCATTATCCGATGAGTCATTAGAATTTATTCGACGTCGGCGACTAATATTTGATGCTCGAAGAGGTTCGTCATCAGAATCGCTTGAAGGATCTGTAGGTTCCTCACTATCTGTCCCTAAAATATCCTCAACTTCGCTGTCCAAATCATTTGGAGGAACCACTTCTTCCTCGTCTCCCACTTTGGATAGTATTGCATAAATGTCATCTTCATTCAAAGAAGCCATGCTGGAAAATAATACCATGCATATGCATACCAGTAAATAATAACAGATACCTAGTAAAATATTTTACTTATCAAATTTTAACCACGATAATGGATAGTAATTAATTACATAGAATATAATAGAATTAACACATACCTTTTTTTTGAAAAATTCTTTGAAGTTCTTTCGTTTTATAAGACCAACAATAAAAGCATCTACTTTATAAATTTGTTACACTAATCATAAACATACGTATCTCAAACACCTCGGGCTTAGTATATCCAAAACTAATCATGTACGCGCCAAAACTACTGGCGCCGAAGTGAGCTCTCGTCGTTTTAGGAAGGTACTGAGACGTTTGTATTTCCACCTTTTTTCGCGCCACGCGCTGTAAGAGTTTTATTACTTGAGGGTGTATGAGAGACGTGTGTTTATGAATCTAGGGTTAAGCAACACGCAATGTAATAGAAGGCTAGTGAGTATTTAATAGTTAATACGTTTTCTCGAATCCTATTTGTACTAATAAAATTCCAAATTCCTGCCGAAACGAATAAATTGTCTGGTAATTACATATTTTACTTTTTATATTGTGCTATAAATATATGAGAGCGGAAAAGTTTATTTCAAACTAAATAACTATTTCGTAAAATTTGATGAATATGGTGTGTTGCGGTAATACCGGACGCAATGTTGCCACATGGAATTAGTGAAGGTCTCTAGACTGCCATCAAAAAGTCCCTAGTTATAAGTGAATTTAGTAACAGAAAAAGTCTCCAAATGTCGCTAAATATAATCATATATATATATATATATAAATGAACTAAAATTCTAACTTGACATTTCAGTAGGGCATGAAAAAATGTTTTTGCATCACCGGTTTTAACCATTTAAATTCGTCTTCCCATTCCTTCCTGAATTTTTGACTGCAGGTTTGTTTCTTCAGCGGTATATTCATTTTATAATCTTGATTAATAATAAATTTAATTAAATAACAAACAATCACTTTTAAATGGAAACAAAATTAGATACACGGGAGATTCAAAAAAAAAAAAACAATAAACGTACTTACGCAAGTATTGCGCGCAACAAGACTAGTGACAAGAATGAATATTATGAATACAACTATCGAGGAAGTCCCGATCAAAGCAAATAAAACAGATAATATGTAAACAAATAAAGAGTGAAAACAACGTGGTAGGTGTAATCCGACCAAATTAGGAAATAGCTTATTGTCATAAAATAAGTTAATAATAATACTTTAAATAATACTATTTAAAATAAGTACTGTGTAAAATGATTATTTGACTTTTAGTTGCTTTAGGATTTATAAGGCGTTTCATTTTTATTTTAAAATTATTTCTCACGTATGTTACGTTGTTAATAATTTTAATTTTGAAAGCAAGAGATATTACTCTACTCTATGCAAGAGATTTTGATGAAGTACATGTTATGTGATTTATTTGTAACAGAATTACCTATTACAAATAAATAACATAACATTTTTCCATTAGGAATATTGTGATGTTTTATATGTGTTTGTAAAAGCGACATCCAAAGAACCTTTGTTTCGGTTCCTATACATTTTATAATTTCGTTAGTGGATAGAGTATATTCCTTACGCCTAAAGTTGTCAGATGGTACCAAAAATTGAAGTATGTACAGATTGT